TGCGCCCCGCCATCAGGAGATCTGTGAGGGGGACGCCAGACAGGTCAGCTCACAGCTGAGAAAGGCTGGACATAAGTCCGTTCTGAGGCCTAGGGACAGTTCTGAACAGACTAATCCCACTAAAATCATCTAAACTGAGCACCACCCTGTTGGGCCCAGAGACTGCGGCCCCTGTGGCAAGAGGATGGTCAGGCTCTCCCCTGGGTGCTCTTGGGCAATGGAACGCAGTTGGGGAAGAGCCTGTAGGATACCATTCCTTCCAGTGCCTGCCACCATGCCACACAAAGCGGACCCTTCCCTGCTACCCACTTCCCTACATCCCCCAGGTCTCTCTGCTGTGACTTGAATGAGAATCCTGATGTCCAGGTTTCTGATATCAAAGACAGTTTTGAAACCAGAGTTGTATACATGCTGACAAAGCCCCACAAAGATGCATAAATACTCCCTGCAATGTTGTAGAACTCAGGGGAATTCAGGAAGACTAAGATCCAGGATCATTTCTGTTAAACAGCCTCAAAACCAACTCCCCAGACTCTCTAAGGACTGCCTCAGCACAAGGGAAGCAGAGTTTCAATTCTGTGCAAGGGCCTAAGGACACAGGCCATTTGTGACCCAAGACAGAAAACTCTTAGCTCTCCTCTAAGACAATTCCAAGGGCAAAACAAAACAAAACTGTTTTTGCCACAGAGGACTTTTCTTAGGTTCACGCCATCCGTCTTCGCCCCCAGACTTTCCAGGCCACCAACTCTCAGTCTCACACTTCTTGACTTCCATAAACTTTCTCTTTCCTCTCCAACCTGCCATTGCTCAACGGGTTAGGTTTCTCTCATCTTTCCCTCTTCCATCTTGCTTTGATATTTGGGCCTGCTTCTCATTACCTGAACAGCAGGGAGTCTCCTGTTATCCAGAATCAGGCCTCACCTGAGCCCAAGAGTGCCAGTGACTCTGAGGATCACAAAGAGGTGGCCAGGTGACCCGTTTTCTCAGAAAAAGCTGAGCCAACAGCACCCTCCTCTGGCCAAACCACACCTCAAAGTCCCTAAGCGTTGATCCTGGCTGTGAGAGCGACACCTGGTGGCCAACAGACCAGGCCAGAGAGAGAAAAGCAGAGGGAGCTGCAGACAGGAAGAAACTGAAGGAGCTCCAGATACAGAATAGAAAGGGGCTTCCTGATGGATGGTGATGTGAGACAGAGGCCCCCCACAGCACCCTAGCCTCCTCTCCATCATGCTGTGCTAAGAGCTGTCTTTGGAGAAGCTCAGGGGCTTTGAAAACACAGCTGGTAGGGTAGAAACATGTCTTCTGGGCAAAGTGGGCCTGAGCTGAGAGCCGCAGAAGGGAACATCACTGTGACAGTGGTCCCAAGCTCGTGCCACATCCAAACCCCTGGGCCCCCTTCATAAGGCTGGGTTCCATGGCCATGAGGGTGCATACCATCCAGGCCCCAGCAGCCAGTCAGACTCCCAGGCCTCAAGGCCAGCACCCACGACGCACAGGCTGGGACTCTATAACACCCCTGCAGGTGTATCCTTCATCAAACAAAGCATGCAGTGTCCACCATGGCTGGCACCACTTTTCAACACCCTCTCTTCCCAACATCACTGCCCCTCTTGGCTTCCTCCAACCTTCTCAGCTTCCTTTCCCAGCACCGCCTCTACTAGCTGCCCACTTTTAGACCCCAGGAAGGTCACCCATTCCTGGCAGAGATGACAACTACTCTACTGTCTCTTGTGCAATCTTCGCTTTCTTCCCTCCCCTCCCCCACCCCCACGTTCTGCATATGGCAGCCCAAGGCTCCGTAACACAAAAATCAGATTACATTCCTCTGATCAAAATCCCCCAAAAGCTCCCATTTTACCTGGCGGTGGCCAAGAAGCCCTGAGACCTCTCAGCCCTCATCCTCTTCCTTCTACTGCCATACTCTGCTCCAGCCACTGTGCTGCTCTGTGCTCTGCCACCTCCTCCAGCTGGATGACTCTTCCTTCACAAGTCCACTCAGCTCACCCTGACATCTTCATCTTTGCCCAAATATCACCTCTCAGTAAGGCTTCCTTGACCACTCCCTCCCCAGCTAGCTTCTCTGCTTTATTTTTCTCCTGATGGACACATTTCCTTATGTGTTGCCTATTCTCTCACTAGAACCTAAGCTGGGTGACAACAGAGACTTCATAAGGGAATGTGGCAATAATCCCCAAGTTGTTTCTCCACTCCAGTCCCTCCCCTCAGCCTCTCCACCACCCCACCAGCCCCCAACCCCAGGCCCCATTTCTCAGCCCCCAGGATGTCACCACTTAGATGTTTCACAGGCCCCCCAACCACCAAGAGGAAGAATGTTCCTGGCAAAGAGAAAAGGTGGAAAGTGCTTGAGGTTGCTCAAAACCTGAAAGGCAGTCAGTGCAACTGGAAAGCAAAAGCAGAGATGAATGGATGGAGAAGCTGGACAGGTGAAGCAGGGCCCTGAGGGTCAAGTTCAGGATCCTGCCCCTTCAGATCCATTCTCCCACTCTATGTAGATGGCTGTCTCCTACCAACTGCCCCTTCCTCAAGCCTCTATCATGTTCCTCATCTTCACTTCCAGCCTGATAGTCTGCTTGCTTCATTTTCCACCAAGAAAATAATAAAAAGCTGGAAGAGAACTTCCACAAACTCCCAGTCACCAGTAACTGCCCCATTTCCACCTCCTCTCTTGATCCTCAGGATAAAAAAACCCATGCTTCTAGGGAAGACCAACCTGTGCCCCAGGGCCCAAATCCTCTCTCTTCCTGAGACACTGCTCAGTAATTGATCTGACACCCCCACCAGCAACTGCCCCATTTCTCTGGTTCCCTTTATAACCAAACTCCTTGACAGACTGCCTGAATTCACTGTTTCTGTTCCTCTTCTCTGATTCCATCCAGCTCCCTCTGATCTGGCCTTCACCCCCTCCTCCTTCACATGCCGTTTCACTTGGTTTCCAGTGCCCACTCATCTGCCTAACCTCTGGAATATGCAGCACCCCAGCGCTCAGCACTCAGACTCCTCTCTCTTATCCAGTCCTGTGGTTTTAAAAATCATCTATGAAAATGGTCTAAAAAATTTATTTTGGTGAAGGCCACACAACTCTGTGAATATAATAAAACCACTGAATTGCACACATTGCATGAATTGTATGGTATGCAAGTTATACATCAATAAAGTTGTTTTAAAAAAAAAAAAAATTATACTCTTGACTCCTCCAGCCCATACCTCTCTCCACAGGGTTCTTGGTTCATTTATCAAACTTCCCAACCTGTATCTCTGCCTGAAAATCTTTTTTTTTTTTTTTTTTTTTTGAGACGGAGTCTTGCTCTGTCGCCCAGGCTAGAGTGCAGTGGCGCAATCTCGGCTCACTACAACCTCCACCTCCCGGGTTCAAGCAATTCTCCTGCCTCAGCCTCCTGAGTAGCTGGGATTACAGGCACCCCACCATGCCCAGCTAATTTTTATATTTTTAGTAGAGACGGGGTTTCACCATGTTGGTCAGGCTGGTCTCGAATCCCTGACCTCGTGATCCACCCACCTCAGCCTCCCAAAGTGCTGGGATTACAGGCAGGAGTCACCACGCCCTGCCCGTCTGCCTGAAAATCTAATGGAGATCTCATCTTCCCCTCCCAAACCTGTTTTTCCCATAGCCTTCTCCAACATGGATGACAGCAATACCAGGTTCAAGTATTCAGACCAACAACCTCGCATCACCCCTGATTCCTCATTTCTCTCCCACCTCACATCCATCTATCAGCAAATGCCACTGGCTTTCCAAATCCAGGATCCCTCCTCTTCTCACCTCTGCCACTGCTACCAAATGGTCCCAATGACCCACATCACATCTCTAGCCTGGACTATCCCAAGAGCCTCCTGACAGACGTCACCCTGCTTCTATTCCAGTCACTGCAATTTATTGTCAGCAGAGTCAATGTTCCTTTCCAAACACAGGTGGGACCATGTCTCTCTGCTCAACCCCTACAACGGTTCCCCACTTCTCTCAAGGTAAAAGCCTGTCTTTTCCATGGCCTACAGGGAACCTACCCACTGGCTCTCATTCCTCTGACCTCATCTCCCACTAGTCTCCCTTTCCTCACTCCACTCCAAGCACATGGATCTTCTTGAAGTTGCTGGAGCGCACCAGGTTGTCCCCAGCTCAAGGCCTTCATGACAGCTGCTATCAGTGCTGCTTGCTCCCTCACCTTCTTCAAGTCCTGCTCAACTAGTAGCCCCTTGGGAGGTCTACACACACCCTATCAGATATGGCGATCCCACTCCCACCCTAGCACTCCTGACCCACTGTCTACACTTTATTTTTTCCATGCACCTATCACATGACCTACAATATGTATCTCATTTATTTGCTTTGGTTATAGTCTGTCTCACTCACTAGAATTTCAGCTTGGTACCTACATATAGTACATACCCAGCAAAAAATGTATTCATCTGCCTAATCTTTGGACACTGTAGCATCCCAGCACTCAGCACTGTTACTTAAAAAATTAAGAGCTTTGGCCAGGCGCGGTGGCTCACGCCTGTAATCCTAACACTTTGGGAGGCTGAGGCGGGAGGATCATGAGGTCAGGAGTTCGAGACCAGCCTGGCCAATATGGCGAAACCCCGTCTCTACCACAAATTTTCCAGGCATGGTGGCGGGCATCTGTAATCCCAGCTACTGGGGAGGCAAAACCCCGTCTCTACTAAAAATACAAAAATTTTCCGGGCATGGTGGTAGGCACCTGTAATCCCAGCTACTGGCGAGGCTGAGACAGGAGAATCGCTTGAACCCAGGAAGCAGAGGTTGAAGTGAGCCAAGATCGTGCCATTGCACTCCAGCCTGGGCGACAAGAGCAAGGCTCCATCTTGGGGGGGAAAAAAAGCTTTATTGATATATAACTTGCATACCATATAATTCACGCAATAACTTGCATACCATATAATTCACGCAATGTGTACAATTCAGTGGTTT